TGAGGAGCTGGAGCTGATAGAGGGAGCTCATCCGCCTCTCCCCGGATTTGAACCTGTGACCTGTCGGTCTTCAGTCCTGCCGGCACAGGGGCTCCACCGCTTAATGGTGTAACATTAGAAAATGTTGACCCTTTCCGCTCCTTGGCAGCCACCTCTCCACCAAAGTCAACATTGACACCGAAATAGAACACCACCTGAGCTCTGCGAGTGCAGCATTCTTCTGAATGAAGCAGAAACTGTTTGAGGATTGGGACATCCATAGGGATACCAAGTTCCTTGTTTATAAAGCTATTGTCCTCCCAACCCTACTATTCACCTGCGAAACGTGGACTGTCTACAGACGGTAGACAGCTTAATGGTGTAACATTAGAAAATGTTGACGTTTTCCGCTCCCTTGGCAGCCACCTCTCCACCAAAGCCAACATTGACACCAAAATACAACACCGCCTGAGCTCTGCAAGTGCAGCATTTTTCCAAATGAAGCATAGAGTGTTTGAGGACCGGGACATCCGTAGGGAGATCAAGGGGCTTGTTTATAAAGCTATTGTCCTCCCAACCCTGCTATTCACCTGTGAAACGTGGACTGTCTACAGATGGTAGACAGCTTAATGGTGTAACATTAGAAAATGTTGACCATTTCTGCTCCCTTGGCAGCCAACTCTCTACCAAAGTCAACTGACACTGAAATACAACACGCCTGAGCTCTGCAAGTGCAGCGTTCTTCCAAATGAAGCAGAGAGTGTTTGAGGACCGGGACATCCGAAGGGAGACCAAGGGGCTTGTCTATAAAGCTATTTTTCCTCCCAACCCTGCTATATGCATGTGAGACGTGGACTGTTTACAAATGTCACATGCAACTTTTGGAATGATTCCATCAGCGCTGCCTCTGGAAAACCCTGCAAATCTCTTGGGATGACAATCAGATAAATGTCAGCGTGCTGGAAGAAGCAAAGACCACCAGCATTGAAGTGATGGTCCTCCGCCATCAACTCCGCTGGACCAGCCATGTTGCCTGGATGGCCGACCACAATTTCCCAAAGCTGTTGCTCTACTCCAAACTCAAGAACAGAAAATGGAATGTTGTTGGGCAGGAAAAGAGATTGAAAGATGGGCTCAAAGCCAACCTTAAAAACTCTGGCATAGACACCAAGGACTGGGAAGCCCTGGCCCTTGAGCGCTCCAGCTGGAGGTCAGCTGTGACCAGCAGTGCTGCAGAATTTGAAGAGGCACAAATGGGGGGCGAAAGAGAGAAATGGAGATGAGCACCAACCCCCAGAGTGGGACACAACTGGACTTAATGTCAGGGGAAAACCTTTACCTTTACCTATTCCAAGATTACAGGTATTTGTGTTGCAAGGAGTTTTCGCCGCAATAAAAGAAGACACAACACACACATCTTGGATTATTATTAATTTTTTTTGCAATTTTACAAAAAAGGAAGGAAGGAAAAAAAACCACAATTTCATTCCTAGAGAAGTTTGGTGCGTGCGCTCAGCGAGCCGGTGCGGTGTGTGTGTGTGTGTTTGTGTGTTTTTGTGTGACTATCTCGAAAGGAAGGAAAGTGAGTAGAAATTCAGGCTAGAAATGCCCAGCAAATCGGTCATAATAATAATAATAATAATAATAATAATTTCTTTTTTTAAAAAAACAATCAAAATATAATATTCCATCTCCAGCTCAAGAACAACGAACGAAAAAAATAATAATCCTAAAATAAAAATCCAAAAAGGAAATAATTATTACAGCTCAAGTAGAAAAGCCAAGGGCCCTGCTCAAGAAACGGGCAGAAAAAGGACCCAGAGATTCGGGGCATCGGATAAAATATTCCAAGGACGGCCCCGTCTTTGTATGTAGAAGGAAAAGAATAAAAATATTACAAAAACCGAGAGAAAACAGCAGTATTTGTGTGTGACGTGAGGTCAGGAGAGGGTCCCTTTGGGAGGGAAGAGAGGCATCTATGGGGAGCAAAGGGGGCTTCTATTGGCAGCTGGAAAGTTGTGGGTTTCAAATTTTTGGCCCCATTTTTTGTGGGTTCACAGCAAAGAGGTCTCTCCTTTGGTCTCTTAATAATACCAGGAAATCCATAGGACGCCTTTCCTTTTGAGTCCAATGCCCAGCTACACTGCCATCTAATGCAGTTTGTGTTGACCCATATAATGCATCTTATGGTCAGTGCAGACCCATATAATGTATGGTCAAGTATAGACAAATATGAAGCATAGTGTAGTCAGTGAAGATCCATACAATGTATTGGCCAGCATTGACCCATATAATGCATCATATGGTCAGTGTTCACCCATATAATGCATCATATAGTCAATGTTCACCCATATAATGCATCATATGATTGGTGAAGACCTATATAATGTATCATATGGCCAGTGTAAATTCATATAATGTATTATATGGATCTGCACATCATATTCATGTACACATGGTTGGTGTACATGAATACGATGCATCATATGGTCAGTGTAGATCCATACAATGCACAATATGATCAGTATAGATGCATATAATGCATCATATGGTCGGTGTAGACCCATATGATGTACTATATGGTCTACATCATATAGTCAATGTAGAGCCATATGATCTACTACATGGTCAACATCAACCTATATGATGCATCATATAGTCAACGCAGACCCATATAATGTACTATATGGTCAATGTCAATGCATATGATGCATCATATAGTCAGTGCAGACCCATATGATGTACTATATGGTCAACGTCAACGCATTTGATGCATCATATAGTCAGTGAAGACCCATATAATGTACTATATGGTCAACGCCAACGCATATGATGCATCATATAGACAACATAGAGCCATATAATGCATCATACAGTCAGTGCAAACCCATATAATCTACTATATAGTCAACGTCAACGCATATGATGCATCATATAGCCAATGTAGAGCTACATAATGCATCATATAGTCAGTGCGGACCCATATGATGTACTATATGGTCAACGTCAACGCATATGATGCATCATATAGTCAATGTACATCCATATAATGCATCATATGGTCAATGTACATCCATATAATGTATCATATAGTCAAGGCAGACCCATATAATGTATTATATGGTCAACGTCAACGCATATGATGCATCATATAGTCAATATAGAGCCATATAATGCATCATATAGTCAGTGCAGACCCATATGATGTACTATATGGTCAACGTCAACGCATATGATGCATCATATAGTCAATGTAGATCCATATAATGTATCATATAGTCAATGCAGACCCATATGATGTACTATATGGTCAACGACAACACATGTGATGCATCATATAGTCAATGTAGAGCCATATAATGCATCATACAGTCAGTGCAGACCCATATGATGTACTATATGGTCAACGTCAACGCATATGATGCATTATATAGTTAATGTAGACCCATATAATGCATCATACAGTCAGTGCAGACCCATATAATGTACTATATCGTCAATGTTGATGCATATGATGCATCATATGGTCAATGTAGACCCATATAATGCAGTCAGTGCAGACCCATATAATGTACTATATGGTCAATATCAACACATATGATGCATCGTAAGGTCAATGTAGACCCATATAATGCAGTCAGTGCAGACCCATATAATGTACTATATGGTCAATGTCGAGGCATATGATGCATCATATGGTTAATGTAGACCCATATGATGAATCATATGGTCAGTACAAACCCATATAATGCATCATGTCATCAGTGTAGACCCATATAATGTATTATATAGTCTGTGCAGACCCATATCATGTATTATATGGTCAATGTTGATGCATCTGATACAACATATCATCAGTGTAGACGCATACAATGCATCATATGGTCAGTGTAGACCCATATAATGTATTATGATCAGTGAAGCCCCATAAGTTGCATCATATGGTCAGCAAAGACCCATATAATAGCTGCAAACTGCTTTATATGGCAGTGTGGGTCCGGCCATAAAGGAAGACAAGAAACCCTATGGCCAGCAGGATTTCCAACCCTACTGTTAGGAAATAAATTTCCCTTTTGATTGGAGGCAGTGCATCCGCACTGTGGGGTTAACACAGTTTGACGCCACTTGAGCTGCCTTGGCTCCTTGCTATGGAATCATGGGAGTTGCAGTTTGACCGAGGCACCCGCACTCTTTTCAAAGCAGAGCTGAACCCAAACTTTGGATGAATTGAGAAGGATGAGAAAGGACTTTACAGCGGATATGAAAGAGATACGTAACTCTTTGGGTAAGCTAGCTCAGGCAAACTGGAATCATGGGAGTTGTAGTTCAGAATGTTACAACAATACTGGTACTTGACCGAACTATAGATCCTACCATCCCATAAGATTGAGCCAGGGACAAACTGCATTCCTTTGACAGTGTAAATGCAGATAACAAAGATGAAAGACCTTGGGAAACTATATCTCCCAGTGTTCCATCACATGGCAATGGAAGCGGTGCCGAACTGCATTTCCTTTGGCTGTGTAGATGCAGATGGAGAAAAAAAGAAAAGAAAAAGTAAAGAAAGATCTTGGAAAACTACAACTTGGAAAACTACAACTTGGAAAACTACAACAGTATTTCATCGCATTGAGTCCTTGTAGCGAAAGCGGTGCCACACTGCATTCCTGCAACAGCATAGATACAGAAAGAGGAAGAAAAAAATGGAAGACCTTGGGAAACTATAACTCCCAGCATCCCACTGCATGAGCCATGGCAATGAAAGCAGTGCAATAACTGCATTCCTTTGGCAGTGTAGATGCAGGTGGGGGTGAGTGGGAGGGAAAGACCTTGGGAAACTACAACTCCCAGCATTCGATTGCATTGAGCCATGGTAGTAAAAGCAGTGCCAAATTTCAATCATTTGACAGTGTTGATGCAGCCCGGGGGGGGGGGGGGGGGGGAAGACCTTGGGAAACTACAGGTACAGATAGAGAGAGGGGGGGAAGACCTTGGGAAACTACAGGTACAGATGGAGAGAGAAAAAAGACCTTGGGAAACTACAACTCCCAGCATTTCAATTGCATTGAGCCATGGCAGTGCAAGTGGTGCCAAACTTCAATTGACAGCTGGAGGGGACGGGGGGAAGATCTTGGGAAACTACAGGTACAGATGGAGAGAAAAAATACCTTGGGAAACTACAACTCCCAGCATTTCAATTGCATTGAGCCATGGCAGTGCAAGTGGTGCCAAACTTCAATTGACAGCCGGAGGGGACGGGGGGAAGATCTTGGGAAACTACAGGTACAGATGGAGAGAAAAAAGACCTTGGGAAACTACAACTCCCAGCATTTCAATTGCATTGAGCCATGGCAGTGCAAGTGGTGCCAAACTTCAATTGACAGCCGGAGGGGACGGGGGGAAGATCTTGGGAAACTACAGGTACAGATGGAGAGAAAAAATACCTTGGGAAACTACAACTCCCAGCATTCAATTGCATTGAGCCATGGCAGTGCAAGTGGTGCCAAACTGCAATCAATTGACAGTGTTGATGCAGCCAGAAGGGGCGAAAGACCTTGGGAAACTACAGGTACAGATGGAGAGAGAGAGAGAAAAGTAAAGACCTTGGGAAACTACAACTCCCAGTATTACAATTGCATTGAGCCATGGCAATGAAAGCGGTGCCAGAATCCTGAAGTGCGGATGCAACCAAAGCCTCCAAAAACAAGGGCTCCTCCTCCTCCTCCTCCGAAGACCCCTTTGCTAGCCTATAAATCTCTCCTCCAGGGAAATAGTAATGATGACGATGACGATGAAGATACCGTTGACGGGGAAAGGCGCCCTCCCTGGGAATGGCACAGTGTATTGATCCGGGGTTCGGAACTGGGAGGATTGGGGGGAAGAACCAGTTCCTCCAGGGAAGTGGCCCCCTCCGGAAGGGGAAAAAAGAAGGGGAAATTTGGGGGGGGGGCATTATTCCAGGGAAGCGGCTATTGCTTTTGGGTAAGGCACAGGCGGGGGACCTGCCCTTCCTGGGAAAAAGGGGGAAACGTGGGGGGAAACGCCATGGATTGCCGCCCCGCTCCCCAAAATTGCACGGGGAGGGTGCCGGGGGGAGAGCCAAGGCTTGGAAGGGGTGCAATGGAGCTCATTTGGTGCATTTGGGGGAAGGGGCGTGAGCAGGGGGGTGGGTGGGAGGGAAGTGGCATTTCTTTTGCCTCTGTTTTGTTTTTCTCTGATTTTTATTCTCTTTTTTTTCTCTTTTTTGCTGCGTTCCGAGGGGGGAAATGGCGGCGAGGCTAAGGGGTCCCCCGTTTCCGTAGCTCCGTGACGAACGCTGGGAAGAAAAAGAGATTTCTCATCAATACCTATATACATATTTATTAACCCCCCCCCCCACTGCAATATAAGTAGCATTACACAATCGGTAAAGACAAGCAATTTCCAATACATGCCTTATACCACATGTAGGAATGGATGTGCACATATATGTATGAATATGTATTTGTGTGTATATGTGTGTATGTATATGTATATATGGAACGCTTCACGAATTTGCGTGTTATCCTTGCGCAGGAGCCATGCTAATCTTCTCTGTATCGTTCCAATTTTAGTATATGTATTTGTGTATATATGTATATGTACATATGTATGTATATGTATATATGTGTGTGCGCGTGTGTGCATGTGTGTGTGTGTATCTAGATCTGTATCTGTATCTGTATCTATATCTATATCTATATGGAATGCACTTTACACTGAGTTTCCTCTGTACCAAGTTTGGAAACTCCCAATTAGTTCAAAGCATTCGTGTACATATGTACATATGTATTTGTGTGTATATGTGTGTATGTATATGTATATATGGAACGCTTCACGAATTTGCGTGTTATCCTTGCGCAGGAGCCATGCTAATCTTCTCTGTATCGTTCCAATTTTAGTATATGTATTTGTGTATATATGTATATGTACATATGTATGTATATGTATATATGTGTGTGCGCGTGTGTGCATGTGTGTGTGTGTATCTAGATCTGTATCTGTATCTGTATCTGTATCTATATCTATATCTATATGGAATGCACTTTACACTGAGTTTCCTCTGTACCAAGTTTGGAAACTCCCAATTAGTTCAAAGCATTCGTGTACATATGTACATATGTATTTGTGTGTATATGTGTGTATGTATATGTATATATGGAACGCTTCACGAATTTGCGTGTTATCCTTGCGCAGGAGCCATGCTAATCTTCTCTGTATCGTTCCAATTTTAGTATATGTATTTGTGTATATATGTATATGTACATATGTATGTATATGTATATATGTGTGTGCGCGTGTGTGCATGTGTGTGTGTGTATCTAGATCTGTATCTGTATCTGTATCTGTATCTATATCTATATCTATATGGAATGCACTTTACACTGAGTTTCCTCTGTACCAAGTTTGGAAACTCCCAATTAGTTCAAAGCATTTGTGTATATATGTATATGTACATATGTATGTATATGTATATCTTTATATATGTATGTGTGTGTATGTGTATATATATATATATATATATATATATATATGTCTGTGTGTGTATATATATATGGATTGCACTTTACATTGAGTTTCCTCTGTATCAATTAGTTCAAAGCATTTGTGTATATATGCATATGTACATATGTATGTATATATGTGTGTGTATATGGAATGCACTTTAAATTTGGGAACTCCGAATCAGTTCAAAGCATTTGTGTATATATATGTGTGTGTGTATCCGTGTGTTTTGTGTATATATGTGTATGTATTTGTGTATATATGTATATGTGTATGCTTTTATGTGTGTGTATATATATATTTGTCTATATATGTATGTATATGTGCATGTGCCTATATGTATATATGTGTGTGCATCTGTGTGTGTATATGGAATGCACTTTAGATTTGGAAACTCCCAATTAGTTCAAAGCATTTGTGTATATATGTATATGTATTTGTGTATATCGGTATATGTGTATGCTTTTATGTGGGCATATATATGTATGTGTGTGTGTGTATCTGGAATGCACTTTACATTGAGTTTCCTCTGTATTCAGTTTGGAATTAATTGGAATTGGAAACTCCCAATTAGTTCAAAGTATGACAAGCCAGACTCAACTGCATATTATTATTATTATTATTATTATTATTATTATTATTATTATTATTATGCCCTTTAAAACTAACTTTCTTCCACCTAATAAAATAGCATAATAATAATAATAATAATAATA